GACATTTTTGTATGAGTTAGCTTCAAACTGGTCTTCCAGACCTCAGCCTGCTGAGCAGGAGTACGAGTATGAGCCCCTGAGACAGCCTGGTGTTCTTGCAGGGTGGGGCCCCCTGCAGAGGAAATGAGGCTGACCTGGAGCAGCCTGCACATCTTCTGCCCAGGGCGGCCTGAGCTGTCACTTGCTTATGATTCCCAGAGACTTTCTAGCCCTGGGAGGCTCATGTTAGACGGAGACTGCGGGGCAGGCCGAGGACCAATGGTCTAGGAGATGGTAGAGCGGGCCAGGTGTCCAGGGGCAGCCAGCGTATGCAGCGGCGCTGCAGGGCTGGAGACACACAGGAAAGCCTCAAGGCTTGGCTCCCATCTCCTCTGCCTCAGCGTGTGGACTGTGTCCCACAAGGTACAACGTCAAGACCTCTATCTAGAGGAAGTACCCGAGAAGAGTCACGTCCCCACACCTGCCAGCCAGACCCACACCAGGGGCATGACTTCCACCTTTTTTTTTTTGGTGCTGGTCCTGGGACTTGATCTGGGCACTGTACCTGAGCTTTTTTGCTCAAGAACAGTGCTCTATCACTTGAGCTTACAGCTCCACTCACAGCTTTTTGCTGGGTGGTTAATTGGACTTTTCTGCCCAGGCTGCCTTTTTTTTTTGCCAATCCTGGGGCCTGAACTCAGAGCCTGGGTACAGTCCCTGAGCTTCTTTTGCCTAGGTTAGCAGTCTACCACTTAAGCCCCAGCAGCACTTCCGGCTTTTTCTGCGTATGGGGGGGTCAGGCTTGCTAGGTTAGCATTCTACCACTAAGGCACATTCCCAGCCCCCCAGGCTGGCTTTGAACTGCAAATTTTAGATCTCAACCTCCGGAGTAGCTAGGATTATGGTATGAGCCAGGGGTGTTGGGCTTAACTTCCACTTCCTATAAACCCAAGCCTGGGATTATGTGCTAGGGCACCTTGGTGCCCGCCCTGCCAGAGGGAAGGGTAGGCGTCAGGGCTGGTCGGGGCGGGGTGCAGCCCTCCTCTGCAGGAACCTGGTCACGGGGCAGGGCTGCTCTGCTCTCCTGTGGGGTCTGGAGAGCTATGGGTGTGGCAGCAGGTGGGACCAGGCAGCTGTGACCACAGCAGGTGCTTTTCAGGCTCTAAACAACCTGGTTCTTCAGATTCTAGAAGGGCTGGAATCATGACGCAAGTGTAGACCATATTCCTAACAAGCAGAAAGCTCTGAGCTTGAACAGCACCAAGTAAAAACAAAGATTCAGAGAGGGGCTAGGAACGAAGAATGACTCCCACCTCCGCTGTGTGGATGTGTCCTCTTCCAGGACAGCAAGGGCCATCATCACCTGCCAACCCCCTCAGGGGAGGCTCTGAGGGGAAGACAGGACTGGAAGGCCCAGGGCCTCAGCAGCTGGGCCTTTCTACAGCACACTGTCCCCATGGGAATGGCTGGGTCAAGACTTTGCCTCTGACGTCTCTGAGGAGACCAAGGGAGCAGAAATAAGGGCTCCCACAAGACAGGCCACAGGGAGCCCCAGAAAAGCAGACCAACAAGCAGGACCTACTGGTTCTACAAAGACTTTACTGAGTGCTTCTGTCCAGAATGGGCGCCGTGGACTCACAGCATCAGAGGCAGGCATTGCCGCGGACCCGCCCAGGCCTCATCCTGAGCTCAGTGTGGTGCTGACCACCGTGGTCAGCAGAGGCCAAGATGCGTCCGTCACTTCTCCAGAGGTGCATAGTTGAGCAGCTTCTCAATGAGGTCCACGTGTGCTAGCAGCATGCGGCGGCAGCAGTAGCGCTTCAGACCCAGGGCATCCAGGGCGTCCCTGTGAGGGAAGCGGGTGAGTGGGCTGGGGCTGTGGTGGGCACAGCCTGAGCCACCCCCACTGGTATCTGGGGGTGCTCTCTCCCCTCTCCCCCTCTCATCAAGGTCTCCCTGGGTCATGGCTAAGGCACAGCAGCATGATCCAGGTGAACTGACTTGGAAATGCGGGAAGTGTGCCCCTAGAGGCCTAGAAGGCGGTAGGGCAAGCCCCCTCTTCCAGCTGCACGGCTGGAGGACCTGAGTTTCCAGATCACACCCTCCCTGCCCACCCTCCAATCCCATGCCCAGGGTCGCTCTGTGGGGACTTCCAGGGCTATCTGTGTGCTCTCCCTTGGCTCTCCAGGAAACCACCCTTTCCATTCCCCAAGCCAATCAGAAGCCTCAGGCACTTTGCAGTTCCAGGGTGTCAGGTGGGAAGGCGGCGGCAGGATGGGGTGGAGGGCTCCTGCCAAGGTATTCCTATGGACTCTGGGACTGAGCAGCCTCTCCACCGATGACCTCCCCATGGTAGGGGCACCTGGGAAATAGGGGCCCTGAAGACACACAGCCCCCACAGGAAGGTGGATCAGACTGCGGAGGTGGTCCTGGGGACCGACGCAGGGTCTCCTGCTCTTGCATGCCTTTCGTGGTTCAGGGATGGTGCTCTACCGCTCGAGACATGGCTCAAGTGTTTTGGCTGACTATCTGGAGATGAGAGGGCCCCACGGGTTTGTCTACTAGGCTGGCTTTGGGACAGGATCCTCAGACCTCTGCCTCCTGGTGGCTGGGAAGTGGGAGCGGCGCTGCGGCTCAGGGACAGTTTGGGCCCGAGTTCGGGCCCCCGGCCCGACAGACACAGAACAACAAGGCCTAAAGCCCAAGCAGCTAAGGCAAAGCACAGGCGCCAGTTCAAACTGCAGCAGGCGCCGGCGGCTCCACAGAACAACAAGGCCTAAAGCCCAAGCAGCTAAGGCAAAGCACAGGCGCCAGTTCAAACTGCAGCAGGCGCCGGCGGCTCCACGGTCCTGCCGGCACCGCGACCCCCGGGCTCCCGCGGGGGGACAGGGGAGGGGAGGGGGGGACGCGGGGCGGAAGGGGAGGAGAGGGGGGGGACGCGGGGCGGAAGGGGAGGAGAGGGGGGGGACGCGGGGGGGGGAGGCGGAGGGGGGAAGGCGGACGCGGGGGGGGGGGGGAGGCGGAGGGGAGGGGGGAAGGAGGGGGGACGCGGGGCGGGGGGAGGAGAGGGGGGGGACGCGGGGGCGGAGGGGAGGAGAGGGGGGGGACGCGGGGGGGGGGGGAGGCGGAGGGGGGAAGGCGGGACGCGGGGGGGGGGAGGCGGAGGGGAGGGGGGAAGGAGGGGGGACGCGGGGCGGAAGGGGAGGAGGGGGGGAAGGCGGACGCGGGGGGGGGAGGCGGAGGGGAGGGGGAAGGAGGGGGGAAGGCGGACGCGGGGGGGGGGGAGGCGGAGGGGAGGGGGGAGGAGGAGGGGGGACGCGGGGGGGGGGAGGCGGAGGGGAGGGGGAAGGAGGGGGGAAGGCGGACGCGGGGGGGGGGGGGGCCCGCGGGGCCGCAGCATCCTCACAGGCGAGGCCCGCGCGGGCCGGGCAGAGCCCCCCGACGCCCCGGCCCGCCCCGCTCACCCCTCGGTGTACTCGGCCTGCAGCAGTCCCAGGTAGGCCTCCCACTTGTTGCCGACGATCTTGCCGCAGGTGAAGCAGCGCACGGGGATGATCATGGCGGCGGCGGCGGCGACGGGCTGCGCGGAGGGCGGCGCTCGTGGCGGCTCCGCCCCGGACGCGTCCACCGGGCGGGGTCTCCGCGTCCAGCCGCCACTCGGCCCGCCGCGGTCCCTTCTGCCCCGGAGGCTCTCCCCCTCCCGGCGCGGTGGCTCGGCCCGGCCCGGCGCGGTGGTTCGGCCCGGCCCGACCCGGCTCTCCCACTCCTGGCGCGGTGGTTCGGCCTAGTTCTCCCCCCTCCTGGCGCGGTGGTTCGGTCCGGCCCGGCTCTCCCCCTCCCGGCGCGGTGGTTCGGCCTAGTTCTCCCCCCTCCCGGCGCGGTGGTCCGGCCCGGCTCTCCCCCTCCCGGCGCGGTGGTTCGGTCCGGCCCGGCCCGGCTCTCCCCCCTCTCGGCGCGGTGGTTCGGCCCCGCACTACGGCGGCCGGCCGCACCCGAAAGAGTGGCTGGGAGCGGCGGTTCGCGTTTCTCGTGCTGGCCGACAGCTGCGCGCGCAGGTACGGCGCCGGCCCGGCTCCCGCCCCCCGGCTCCCCGGGGACACGAGTGCGAGCTCGCGCGGGGCCGTGGGCTGAGCCGCGGCGCCCAGTGACCGTCGCCCCCCGCGTCCTCGGGGTCCCCCACGCGGGGCCGGGGTCAGCGCCGAGAGATCCACGCGGGGCCTGGGTCAGGAGAGAGATCCCCGCGGGGCCGGGGTCAGGAGAGAGATCCCCGCGGGGCCGGGGTCAGGAGAGAGATCCACGCGGGGCCGGGGTCAGGAGAGAGATCCACGCGGGGCCGGGGTCAGGAGAGAGATCCCCGCGGGGGCCGGGGTCAGGAGAGAGATCCACGCGGGGCCGGGGTCAGCGCTGAGAGATCCACGCGGGGCCGGGGTCAGGAGAGAGATCCCCGCGGGGCCGGGGTCAGGAGAGAGATCCCCGCGGGGGCCGGGGTCAGGAGAGAGATCCCCGCGGGGCTGGGGTCAGGAGAGAGGCCCACGCAGGCCGGGGTTTAGCGCCGAGAGATCCACGCGGGGCTGGGGTCAGGAGAGAGATTCACGCGGGGCCGGGGTCAGGAGAGAGATTCACGCGGGGTTGGGGTCAGGAGAGAGGCCCACGCAGGCCGGGGGTTTAGCGCCGAGAGATCCACGCGGGGCTGGGGTCAGCGCCGGGAGATCCACGCGGGGCCAGGGGTCGGGGGCCAGGGTCAGCGCCGGGAGATCCATGCGGGGCTGGGGTCGGGAGAGAGGCCCACGCAGGCCGGTGCAGGGCTGGGGGTCAGGAGAGGAGCTCTCTGGCTGAACTGCTCAGATACTGAGCAGAGGCATGGAGGACACTTGGCTAAGGCCTGGAGACCATGTCTGCAGGACCTCTGGGCCAACACCTTACCTGGCCGTGACCAGGTAGCCAGGACACACGCGCTCGTGCACATGTACGCAGTGTGTGATTCTGAGTCTGAGTGGTGACCAGGCTTTAGCTCCTTCCTGTCTCTGGGAGGTTCCCGGGAGGGGGCTCTGGGTTCTGGGCTCTGGGCTCTTGTGGGTTCTGGGTTCTCTGGCTCTGGGTTCTGGGCTCTTCTAGGTTCTCTGGGTTCTCTGGTTTCTCTGGGATCTAGGTTCTCTGGGCTCTGGGCTCTGTGGGCTCTGGGTTCTGGGCTCTGTGGGTTTTGGGCTCTGGGTTCTGGGCTCTGGGCTCTATGGGCTCTGGGCTCTTGTGGGCTCTGGGTTCTAGGCTCTGGGTTCTGGGCTCTATAGGCTCTGGGCTGTGGGCTCTGGGCTCTGGGCTCTGTGGGCTCTGGGCTGTGGGTTCTGGGCTGTGGGCTCTGGGCTCTCTGGGTTCTGTGGGTTCTGAGCTCTGTGGGTTCTGTGGGCTCTGGGCTCTGTGGGCTCTGTGCTCTGTGGGCTGTGGGCTCTGGGTTCAGGCTTTGGGTTCTGTGCTCTGGGTGCTCTGGGCTCCAGGCTCTGGGCTTGGGCTCTTGGCTCAGAGCTCAGGCTCTAGACTCTGGGTTCCAGGCTCAGGCTCTAGACTCTGGGCTCAGGCTCTGGGATCTGGGCTTGGACTCTGCGCTCTGTGGGCTCTGGGCTCAGGCTCTGGGCTTGGGCTCTAGACTCTGGGCTCCAGGCTCAGGCTCTAGACTCTGGGCTCTGGGCTTGGGCTCTGGGCTCTGACTCTGGGCTCTGGGCTCAGGCTCTGGGCTCTGGGCTCTGGGCTCTGACTCTGGGCTCTGGGCTCCAGGCTCTGGGATCTGGGCTTAGGCCTGGGATCTGGGCTTGGACTCTGGGTTTTGGGCTCCCGGCTCTGGGCTTAGGCTCTGGGATCTGGGCTTGGGCTCTGGGCTCTGGGCTGGGGCTGGAGCTCTGGGCATCTGGTTGGGACGGGGGTGTCCCAGTGTTCTATTGGGTAGATGCAGGGGAGGGGCAGGCATGGAGTCCCCTGGGGTTTGTCCTCCACCCCCTGGCTTGGTTTCTCACAGCCTTTGCCATCTCCCCAAGGCACGTGCAGTGCCACGAGCCTGTCCACTTCCCTTCCCTGCCTCCCTCCCCGCAGTCCCGCCCGGCCAGAGGGACAGTGTGAGGGCCTTCACAGCGGCTGGGCCAGACCCAGGTCCCGTGGCAGAGGCTCCTGCAGCCAGAGGTGAGAGCTGTGGAAGCGGACAGGGCCTGGGGTACACGGGGGGGGGGGGGGGGGGGCATGGGGCCAGAGGCTTCAGGTGGAAGGTGGGGGCCGCCGCCGCCCCTGGGAGCGAGGAGAGGCCCTTGCCAAGTTGACATTCCTGAGATTCTGAGAGGGAGAGAGAGGGAGGGCGGGGGAGAGAGAGTGAGAGGGGGAGAGAGAGAAGGGGGAGCGGGAGAGGGAGAAAGAGGGAGGGGGAGAGAGGGAGAGGAAGAGGGGAGGGGGGAGCGAGGGAGAGGAAGAGGGAGAGAGAGTGGGAAAGAGAAAGGGGAGGGCGGGGGAGGGAGAAGGGAGGAAGAGGGTGTCTCTTTTGGGTGTCCATTCTGAGGCTTGAACTCAGGGCCTGGACACTGTCCCTGAGCTTTCTGCTCAAGGCTAGCCGCTACCACTTGAGCCACAGCTCTACTGCTAGCTGTTTGGTAGTTAGCTGAAGATGAAGGCTGTGGACTTTCCTGCCTGGGCTGGCTTTGAGCTGCCATCCTCAGATCTCAGCCTCCTGAGTAGCTAGGGTGGCATGTGAGTGCTGGCAGGGCTTTCTTGGGCCTTTGGTGGTGGTGGTGTCCTCCGCTCTGCAGAGCGGCCCTGGCTGGCTGGCTCCTTCCTGGCTTGGCTGTGCGTCACTTCTGTCTGTACCCTGACCAGGCCCTGGGGCCCTGTCCCCTCCCCTGCCCTGGCTGGCCAGGCCAGCCGTCCCTCTCCCCCAGCAGTGGTGGGAGCCCCGCCCCCTGTGGTTGGAGGAGAGTGCCCCTCACAGTTCCCCACACACCCAGCTCTCTGGAGGAAGGTCACTTCCAGGCAGGCAGGGGACCAGGGAAGAACAGGGATTGAAGTTCCAGCCCCTCCCCCGGGAGTTGCCCTGGCAACGCCACAGGGAGGAAGGAGGGTGCTGGGCGGCCGAGCACTGGACAGGGAGTCAGCTGACCTTGCCCTTTCCTCTCTTAGATCACAGCCTCCGGTTGCCGGGCTCTGTGGGGGGGTAGGCCTGACTGTCCGGTGTGTCCACCTCTGTCCCTCCGGTGGGCAGCGGCACCGATGTGTGCTCGCCCAGGGGTGCTGCACACATGGGTAGCTCGCCCAGGCGGTGCCTCCACACACCCCAATGTGCTTCAGCGGCGAGGAGGTGTGTGCAGATTGGCAGAGGCCCTGGACCCCTGGCCTTTGATCATACTTGGGAGGACTCAGGACTAGCATGCTGTGCCGTCCCAGCTGTCTGGCCAGAGCCTGGACATCACAGAGTGCCCTGCCCAGACCTGGTCCTCCTGTGTCAGCCTCCTGAGCGACTGGGGTTCACAGGTCCCTTGGGTCTTCATTGTGTCCCCTTCCCCCCGGTGACCTCCAGCAGAGAAATACCTGTGCCAGGGAGGAAGCCAGGATCGGTACAGAGCTCAGGCTCCAGCTGTGCCCCTGAAGTGCATAGGGCAGGCTGGGGCGTCTCTGAGGTGCGTGGGGCAGGCTGGGGCGTCTCTGGCTGGGCTGAGTGAACATGGCTCCACTCAGGCTCCACGCAGCTCCTCGCCCCTGCTCCTCTGAGGGGTGTCGGCCTGCGGTGCCTTGCTGGGGCCTCGGGTGGGCGCCCAGGGCCTGGCTGCCTTGGAGCCTGCTCCGCTGAACGGAGGGGCATCTCTGCGCTGGGCTGGGCCGGTGTGTGTCGTCCAAGGGCCTGGGCCCCGGGCTGCGGATGCTGCCACACTGCCGGGCTCCGAGGAGGCTGCTCCATGGGTTCCTGCCCCCCCAGCCACCGTGGGCCAGCTCTGGAGCCTGCCGGGGTCCCTCTTCCTGGGACTGTGGTCTGGCCTGGTGGGCGTGTGTGGTCCCCTGTGGCTTGCCCCAGGGCTGCCCTTGCACCGGAGCACAGAGCCAGGGCAGACTCTTGGACCTTGATGGCAGGCTGGGCCTCGGGACCTTCCCTTCCTGGCTGGCTGGCTCTGGGGGTGAGGTCCTTCTGAGCGTGGGCATCCGCTCAGAGCTGAGGATGTGCGGTTTAGAATGCCTTGAAGTGGATAGGCTGGGTGCTTGGGTGGCTCATGCCTGTCATCCGAGCGACTCAGGATCGTGGTTCAAAGCCAGCCCGGGCAGGAAAGTCCATGAGACTCTTATCTCCAATAAACCACTAGAAAACCAGAAGTGGCGCTGTGGCTCAAGCAGTAGAGTGCTCTCCTTGAGCTGAAGAGCTCAGTGACAACGCCCAGGCCCAGAGTTCAAGCCCCACAACCGACAAAAAATTTTAAAAAAACCTGGGCAGGAAAGTCCTTGAGACCATTATCTCCAATAAACTACTTAAAAAAGATGGAATTGGTGCTGAGGCTCAAGTGATAGAGCACTAGCCTTGAGCAAAAGAGTTCAGTGATAGCACCCAGGCCCTGAGTTCAAGCCCCAGGATTGACCCTCCCTCCCTCCCCACCAAAAAAAGGAAGTGGCTGGCACAGCTGGTCCCGAGCAAGGCCGGGAGGGTGCAGTCTGCATGCTGCCCATCTCTTCTGCAGAGCCTAAGCCTGCCGGCCAGCCTTCAGGACCCCTCTTGTGCGTGCCAAGTAGGCTGAGGCCTGGCCTGGCTGGGTGTGGTGGGCAGCACTGGCCCTGGGACTTGCCTGCTGGACATGTGTCATGTGTTGGGACAGTAGCCATGTAGAGTATGTCTCACTGGGGAGCGACACTGAGGGCGAAGGGCTGGGCTTGCGGTGGAGGAAGCAGCCCCTTCCCCTGGGACATGGCCTCATCCCAGCTGCCTGTCACTCATCCCCAGCTGTGACGGGGGGGGGGGGGGGGGCTGTCCCTTGGGAGTGGTGGGCCTGGGATGGTTGGTCCCGCAGCCTTGGCTCTGGGAGTGGGGGAGGGGCCCCTCACCTCCCCCAGCCTGGCAGCTCCTCTTCTTTGCCCCTCACACAGCCCGTCTTCCAGGCGCTCAAAGAAGGCTAGGTGACCAGAGGCTTATTTGTGTGCCTTATGGCTACCTCTCGGGCCACGCCAGAGGGGAGCCTGGTGGCCGGCCCTAGCAGAGTGAGGAGCGGTGGGTGTTTTTGGTTCTGGGGGATAGTTTCTTCCCTGGGCTGTGGGTCTCTTTCTTCCATGCGCGCCTGGTGTGCACGCGTGTGCCTCTGGCACTCAGATCGCTGGAGGTGTCCATCCAGGGCTGGGCAGGTGGGGTGGCCGCATCTGGCCAAGGGAAAGGGCTCCTCCAGCCACTGCTGGGGCTGGCCAGGTCTTGTGAGTCTACTGCTGCTCCTGGGTCCCTGGACGCAGCCTCCTCCCAGTGTCTCAGCTGGTGTGATCGCTCTGTCCCTTTCCTGGATCCCAGACACGAAGGCACCCGAAGGGGGCAGCGTGACAATACAAGGTGCCGTGGGGTCACGGGGTAGAGCCGGGGTCCCCGACCTTGGACGCTGGCTTGCTGGTGGACACTGCAGTTCAGTGCAGAGCCCTCGGGGGGCAGCAGAGGCCAGGGTAGAGCAGCTCTGCCTGGCCGGGCTCCCGGGCCGTTGAGCGTGCTCCGGGGACACGCGGTTTGTCCCCGGGAGGCTGCAGGCCGCAGGCGCCTCGCCGACCCTGCCCTCATGTTCCCTCTGCTTCTATCCAGCTGTTCCACTCAGGGAGTTTCCAACGCTGCCCGCAGGGTCCAGGCCACTGCCCACACCGCGGAAAGCCTGGCACTGCCTGCACTTAGGTACGGCGACAGTCACAGTGGTCACAGCCTCCTCTCTGGCTGTATGTGTGTGTGTGTGCTGTTACCACCCCCCTCCCCAGGTGTGTGTGTATGTGCATGTGTGTGTACGTGTGTACGCACGCGTGTGTGTGCTGTTACCACCTCCTCCCCAGGTGTGTGTGTATGCGCATGTGTGTGTGCGCGTGTGTGTGTGTGTGCTGTTACCACCCCCATCCCCAGGTGTGTGTGTGTGTCCTGTCCCTCCTCCCCGGGGTGTCCCCTCCTCCCCTGCCCCCTCCTCCCCGGGCTGCCCCCTCCTCCCCGGGGTGGCCCCCTCCACCCCGGGCTGCCCCCTCCTCCCTCCCCTCGCCCCCCTCCTCCCCGGGCTGCCCCCTCCTCCCCCGGGCTGCCCCCTCCTCCCCGGGGTGCCCCCTCCTCCCCGGGCTGCCCCCTCCTCCCCGGGGTGCCCCCTCCTCCCCGGGCTGCCCCCTCCACCCCGGGCTGCCCCCTCCTCCCCTGCCCCCTCCTCCCCGGGCTGCCCCCCTCCTCCCCGGGCTGCCCCCTCCTCCCCGGGCTGCCACCCTCCTCCCCGGGCTGCCCCCTCCTCCCCGGGCTGCCCCCTCCTCCCCGGGGTGTCCCCCTCGTCCCCGGGCTGCCCCCTCCTCCCCTGCCCCCTCCTCCCCGGGCTGCCCCCTCCTCCCCGGGCTGCCCCCTCCTCCCCGGGCTGCCCCCCTCCTCCCCTGCCCCCCTCCTCCCCGGGGTGTCCCCCTCCTCCCCGGGCTGCCCCCTCCTCCCCGGGCTGCCCCCTCCACCCCGGGCTGCCCCCTCCTCCCCTGCCCCCTCCTCCCCGGGCTGCCCCCTCCTCCCCGGGCTGCCCCCCTCCTCCCCCTGCCCCCCTCCTCCCCTGCCCCCCTCCTCCCCGGGGTGTCCCCCTCCTCCCCGGGCTGCCCCCTCCTCCCCTGCCCCCTCCTCCCCGGGCTGCCCCCTCCTCCCCGGGCTGCCCCCTCCTCCCCTGCCCCCTCCTCCCCGGGCTGCCCCCTCCTCCCCGGGCTGCCCCCTCCACCCCGGGCTGCCCCCTCCTCCCCTGCCCCCTCCTCCCCGGGCTGCCCCCTCCTCCCCGGGCTGCCCCCCTCCTCCCCTGCCCCCCTCCTCCCCTGCCCCCCTCCTCCCCGGGGTGTCCCCCTCCTCCCCGGGCTGCCCCCTCCTCCCCGGGGTGCCCCCTCCACCCCGGGCTGCCCCCTCGTCCCTCGGGCTGCGGGGCAGGGCGTCCAGGACCCGCCGGCGACCGCGCACCGCGGAGCCCTCGACCCACACGCGGCGGGCCGGGACGGGGCGCCTCCAACCCGGGCACGAGAGGGGTGGCGTGACCTGAGCACGCGAGTGAGAGGGCGCGGACGCCCTGCCCGCCCTGTCCGGAGGAGCTGCGTCTCCCGGGCCGAGCGGGAAGGGAAGGGCGGGTGCAGCCGCTCCGGCCCGCGGCCCGGCGGGGGCGTGGCTGGAGCGCGGCGGGGGCGTGGCTGGAGCGCGGCGGGGGCGTGAGAGGGCGTGGCTGGAGCGCGGCGGGGGCGTGGCTGGAGCGCGGCGGGGGGCGTGAGGGGGCGTGGCTGGGGCGCCGGGCCTCCCGCGCAGCCGCAGCTCGGGCTCCGGCCCCGGCCCGGAGGGCGGGCGGGCGGGGCGGGGTCCGCGCGGGCGGCGCGTTGCTGGATTGGCCGGGCGCGCGCGGGGCGGCGCGGGGCGGGCGGCGGGGCCGGGCCGGGCGGGGTCGCCGGCCGCCGGGCGGCATGGCCGCGTCGTCGCGGGCATGAAGCGGCCCTGGGCGGCGGCGGCGCGGCGCGCCCGGCCTCCGGGCGCCATGCGCCGCTCCAGCACCGAGGAGTCGGCGCTGCGGCGCAGCCCGTCCCCGCAGGGCCGCGCCCCGGGCCCCAAGGCGGCGCCCCAGGGCGGCAGGTACGTGGTCTTCTACCTGGACCTGTCCTTCATCTTCCTCCTAGAGCTGCGGCGCTGCGGCATGGCGCGCGGCTGCCTGCGGGGCGTCAAGTACCTCATGTTCGCCTTCAACCTGCTCTTCTGGGTGAGTGCGGACCGGGGCCGGGACGGGGGGGGGGGGGAGGCCGGGGCCGGGACGGGGGGGGAGGGGAGGGGGCTGGGGGGGGGAGGCCGGGGCCGGGACGGGGGGAGGGAGGCCGGGGCCGCGGGGGGGGGAGGCCGGGGCCGGGAGGCCGGGGCCGGGACGGGGGGGGGGGGGGGAGGCCGGGGCCGGGACGGGGGGAGGGAGGCCGGGGCCGCGGGGGGGGGGGAGGCCGGGGCCGGGAGGCCGGGGGGGGGGGAGGCCGGGGGGAGGGAGGCCGGGGCCGGGACGGGGGGGGGGGGGAGGCCGGGGCCGGGACGGGGGGGGGAGGAAGGGGGGGGCAGGCCGGGGCCGGGGCCGCGGGGGGGGGGGAGGCCGGGGCCGGGAGGCCGGGGGGGGGGAGGCCGGGGGGAGGGAGGCCGGGGCCGGGACGGGGGGGGGGGGGGGGGGAGGCCGGGGCCGGGACGGGGGGGGGGGGGAGGAAGGGGGGGGGCAGGCCGGGGCCGGGGCCGGGACGGGGGGGGGGAGGAGGCCGGGTGGGGGGAGGCCGGGGATGGGAGGCCAGGCCCGGGAGGCCAGGCGCACTCTCCTCTCCGCCCCCTCCAGCTCTCCCTTGGACCAGGAAAGGTTTCCCCACGTGTGCACCAGACGGCCTGTGTGGCACCGTGTCCCAGGGGCTTGGGCTCTGGTCCCAGCCTCCTGTGGGCTGACCTCCGCTCCCTCCCTCCTGCCTCCCTGGTCCTGGCCCCCTTTTCGCCCTGGCCGGAGACCAGAGCACCACTGGCCCGGCCTCAGTTTCCCCTGAGGCTGTGGTGGGGAGAGCTGCCTACCCAGGCGGCACCGTGGTAGGGAGTGTGTGCCTAGCTCAGTGCTCCAGCCCAGGGTCCTGGACGCTAGAAACCTCTCCTCAGTGAGCTGGTGTGGTGGCTGGGGCCCTGCTTGTTCCCCGAGCTGCAGAGCCATCCCCCCTCAGAAGTGGGGGCCTGGCGCCTCATGGGGCTCCCGCAGGTAGGACTCCCATGGCCGTGCATCACATTTGCGCCAGTAAGCGGGTCACTGAAGGTTAGGGTGTAGAGGGTCACTGAGGGGTAGGGTGTAGAGGGTCACTGAAGGGTAGGGTGTAGAGGGACACAGGTTGGGGTGTAGAGGGACACGGTGAGGGTCATGTTGGCGGCGGTGGGTCATGGTAAGGGCCACAGCGTGGATCACATTGGCGGGAGTTGGGACAGGGCCGGTTATGGCAGGAATCATCCTATCGGCCTTGGAGCAGCCCTGGCTAGGCCTGCAAGGAGGCTGGAGTTGGGGGCCCCTGAGGCCTAACTCGCTGGGTCAGGAAGGCCTCGTGGAGGACTGGTGCCGTTTGCTTCGTGGTCGGGGTGAGAGCGGCTCGGCACCTGGGCCACGCCGGTGCTTCACTCACGCGTGGAGCCAGGAGGGCCAGTGCACACACCCCGTCCTCCCTTTCCCCCGTGCTGCGTGTGGGCTGCGAGCGTCTGGCACCAGGGTGTAGAGCGGCCAGCCAGCACGTGCTGGGCATGGTCACAGCAGGGGGCTGACTGGGGGGAGGGGCTGCAGGCCACCATGTGACCCCACAGCCTGCCAGCTTGGCCGGCCGGGTAGATGGGGTGGGCGTGGGAGGCACGGTGGTGCTGGCTGGTGTGGCTCCTCGGCTGGCTGACCTGGCCGCTGGCTGCCGGGGAAGGGAAGGGGCTGGGGAGGGGGGTTGGACATCTTGGGAGCGGGCCTGGGAGGATCCAGGTGTGCTGTCCTTGAATCCCCACAGAGCCCAGCTTCCTGCGGCAGAGCAGACATGCTCTGCGGACCCCGGGGTCACATCCCCCTCCTGGGCCGGAGGCCTCCAGTTCCTTTTACTACTCAGTTGTGTCCCCGGCCTGGGTCCTGGGGCCTCTGCTGCTGCTGCCCTCAACACCAGCCATTGCCCCTCTCCCGACTTGGTGCCCAGAGCCTCGCGGCCAGGGCTGTCCAGCCCCACAGGGCAGGCAGGACCCCGGCAGGGCTTTGCAGGGAGAGGCCCAGGTGGCTCTGACAGAATCCGTCCTGTCCAGAGGGCATGCTGCCAGCCCTGACTCGGAGCCCCCCTTCCCGCTGGTGCCAGGCTGGGGGCGAGGCCGCGGGCCCGGGCCCTCCTTCAGCTCAGACTCCTTGGCTGAGCAGGTGCTTGCTTTCTGTGGGAGGGACTCACGTCCCCAGTCCATTTCTTACTCATGCGAAGAGGCCAGCAGACAAGGTGTGTGTGCTCTGCCTTTATCAATAGAGCCAGAGGCCCACGCAGCAGGACGGGAGGCCTGTGGGAGGGCCGAGGCCCCGGCCGGCCAGCGCGTGGCACTCGGCCCTGCTGGACAGTCGCTGGCCTCCTCCGCGGTGTGCAGGGTGGCCCACAGGCGAGGTGAACTCCGGGTGGGGCAGGCCAGGCCAGGCACAGCAGCCCCGCCACCCTGTCCGTCAGCCTCAGTGGCGGCGTCACCACAGGGCCTCTGCCGTGGAGGGGGAGGTCCTAGGGTGGGTGGGGTGGGGAAGCCTGGCTCTCCCTCCCTGCCCGCCACCGCCGCGGCCACCACCGCCGCCGTCGGGGCTCTGGCCAGGTCTGAACGGGTTGAGTTCAGCAAGGTGAGGACATTTCTACCGCTGCTCTGGCCAGGTGCTGGCACAGGAGGGCTGTCCGCCTGCCAGCCAGGCCTCAGCCCCGGAGCCAGCTCCGCCCAGATACGGATGCCCTGGCCGGTCCCCCTCCGTGTCCAGCCCCAGCCTCGGGGAAAACCTTCAGTGGGGTGGGCGCTGCCCGTGTGGATCCTGCCTGCCAGGGCGTCCGGGGCAAGTGCTGCCTTTTTGCCTCAGTTTCCCCATCTGCACTACATGGCCGCTGGGCAGGGTGCTGTGAGGGCCAGGGTCCCGAGGGGTGGACGGGGATATGGGGGCTCAGCTCCTACCGGATGGCCTGTGCTGACCCTCACAGGATGCTCAGGTGGCGGATGCCCCGGGTTGGAGGAAGGGCAGAGCCCAAGTCTGGCAACCAAGGCCTGAGCTCTTCTGGGCCCCTGTCCAGGAGGGAGGGGGCGGCCTGGCCCTGCCGTCCCTGGCTGATTACCTGGCAGCCTCAGCACCTGCTCTTGTTCGTCCTAGAGGAAGGTCCTGGGACTTTATTCCAAACTGGTGGCAAGGCCCTGGGCAGAGGCTTTGCGGGTCCCTTAGTTTTTTTTTATCTTCGGTGGGCGGGTGGTGGACGATGGCTATGTAGCTGGTCTCTGGGCAGGGCACCCTGAGTCTCTGGGAAGAGGCTGCCTGGGAGGGCAGAAAACTGTGTCCAGTTCCTGGGCAGCCAGGACACATTGCTTGGATCCCTGCAGCAGGCTGGTGCTGGAGATAGGATGGAGGGGAGCACTGGTGTGAGGAGCTGTGCCGGAGGGAGGATGGAAGGGAGCACTGGGGTGAAGGAGGATGGAGGGAGCGCTGAGGTGAGGGAGGATGGAGGGAGCACTGGGGTGAGGAGCTGGTGGTGAGGGAGGATGGAGGGAGCACTGGGGTGAGGGAGGATGGAGGAGCACTGGGGTGAGGGAGGATGGAGGAGCACTGGGGTGAGGGAGGATGGAGGGAGCACTGGGGTGAGGAGCTGGTGGTGAGGGAGGATGGAGGGAGCACTGGGGTGAGGGAGGATGGAGGAGCACTGGGGTGAGGGAGGATGGAGGAGCACTGGGGTGGAGCTGTGCTGGAGGAGGATCGAGGGAGCACTGGGGTGAGGAGCTGCCACGGGGAGCTGTTGCTTTTCCAGAGGGCTGGGGTGCAGTGGGTGTTGGGGAGCAGTTCTGACCAGCTTGGGCTCTGGCTCTCCTGAGTGGACACACACACCTTTTTTTCCTCCAGTCCTGGGGCTTGAACTCAGCCTGGGCACTGTCCCTGAGCTTCTTTTGTTCAAGGCTAGCGCTCTTCCACTTGAGCCACAGCTCCACTTCTGGCTTTTTCTGTGTATGTGGTACTGAGGAACTGAACTCAGGGCTTCATGTGTGCTAGGCAAGCACTTGACCATGAATCCACGCTCCCAGCCCTGTGTTCCGTTTATAAGTGGGCAAACTCACTCTGCTGAGCAGCCAGCACGCAGGCTCAGAGGCTGGTGGGAGAGGAGGGACACAGCCCTCCCTCCCCCAGGAGCGCAGCCCTCCCTGGCTGCCGCCCTGAGCTTTGTGGCTTGAAGGGTAGGGGCAGAGGGTGGCCGGCACCCCCCTGGTGGTGTGGATACCTGTCCGCTGATGAGTGCCAGGCACCACATGGCATCATGGCATCTACCACCGAGCCTGAGGCCAACTAAAAGGGCAAAGGGGTAATGTCACACGGGGGAAGGGGAGAGGGCGCTGTCCGGAGTGGGGCTGAGGCTGAGTGCAGGCTGGAGATCAGCCACAGGTGTAGGGTGAAGGCCAGAGAGTGGACGCCCCCCCCACCTGTCTAGCCGGTCACTGCCCAGGCCCCCTCGCCCCCTCCAGGCTGCTGATTGCCGTGTGGCCCCGGGGAGGGGAGGGCAGTGGTGGGCATGGAGGCTCAGGGCTGGGGAGCACTGCGGTTATGGAGGCTCAGGGCTGGGGAGCACTGCGGTGGTGTGAGGTCCTGGTTGCAGCCCAGCCTTGGCCCTCCAGGGACTCAGCCCTTGAGTTCTGCCTTTTGAGTCTGAGTCCGATGGGCCGTGTTCTCGAGTCTGAGGCTGTAATTTTCCTGCCAAAATGTCTTAAAAGCTGCAAGCGTAATGGTTTCAAAACTACAGGTATGGCGAGTTTACGTACCACAGGTGTGCATTTCATCCGCACACCACGAGTGTGGCATTTCCTGGGAGAGTGTGCACTGTAGGGTGTGCTGGCTCCCGTGTGCCCCTGCCGGCGACGGTGCTGCCAGGGGGACAGGCCGTCTGGGTGGGAGGGGGGATGGGCCGTCTGGGGGGGGACGGGCTGTCTGAGGGGGGATGGGCCGTCTGGGGGGGGACGGGCCGTCTGGGTGGGAGGGGGGATGGGCCATCTGGGGGGGGACGGGCCGTCTGGGTGGGAGGGGGGATGGGCCGTCTGGGTGGGGGAGGACATCTGGCTAGGGGGGGACAGGCCGCCTGGGTGGGAGGGGGGATGGGCCGTCTGGGGGGGGGAGGACATCTGGCTAGGGGGGGACAGGCCGCCTGGGGGGGAGGGGGGATGGGCCGCCTGGGGGGGATGGGCCGTCTGGGTGGGAGGGGACAGGATGTCTGGGTGGTGGAGGGACAGGCCATCTGGGTGGCTGGGGGGGACGGGCCGTCTGGGTGGGGGGGATGTCTGGGTGGGGTGGAGGGACGGGCCGTCTGGGGGGGGGGAGGCCTGCCTCAGGGACTGTCTCCTGCTGGCCCTCTGGACGCAGGTGTCCCGAGTCCCGTGGAGCCAGCTGTTTTGCCCAGCTGTGCTGGTGGCCGGCTCTCCTGCCGCACAGGCAGCTGGCACACGCATGGCCTCTGGTGACGTTTCTCTGGAGCCTCTCCTGGGCGCGGACCTGTCCTTGTCGCTGTGACTGCAGGGGCCAGGCGGGCGTCCCCGGGGAATGCCCCAGCTCTCAGGCGGGGGGGGGGGGGGGGCTGGCTCCCTCCTCCCTGGCCCTGTGGCTGTGACCCAGCCCCGGCGTCTCCTGTCCCTCCGTGGCGGCCCCACCAGGAACCCTGAGGTCAGGGATAGGTCAGTCCCATGCCAGGACCCCAAACCTGGCCCAAAGTAGGGGACCAATGCCTCTTCCGGGTCATCAGCACCTTCCAGCCTTTCCCTGTGTCTGGCCGCCTGTCCTTCCCCGAGTCCAGCAGCTCTCCGGGCACGGAACACGACTTCTCCCTTTTCACCCTCAGTGACCAAGACCCAAGGTCGGTGGTCCACGGACCGGCTGAGCAGCCTGGTGTCCTGAGACTGGCTGTTCTATCAGGCAGGCCCAGCCTGAGCCCAGTGTCCCCCCCCCAGTGGTCTTTGTGATGAGGAGCTGTGCGGTGGAGCAGGTGCTCAGTGGCAGCTGGTGGCGGTCGAGGCTCCCCCTGCTCAGGGAGCACCGGCCAGGCCCACGGGGGCTGTCTTGAGCTGTGGGGTGCTGCTGGCTTCACTCCCTGGCATCGGAGTCTAGAGCAGGTGGACCCAGCCCCCAGCCTCCATGGTTGGCCCAGGCCCAGGGTGGCTCAGGGGGCTGCAGGCTGGACAAGACCCGTCCCTACCCCTGGCGTGCGGCCGGGTGGCTGCTTCCTGCCCAGAGCCCGTCACGACAGGCAGAGGAGGGGGGGGGGGAGTGGGGAGGCCCTGGGCGGCTGAGGGGGTCAGCGGGACCCTCGGCGGCCCCCAGGGTGGGCAGCGTGGCCCAAGGCGCGGCTGGCTGAGGCTCGTCCGCTCCCCTCCTCCTGTGGGCGCTGTTTCCAGCTCGGAGGCTGCGGCGTCCTGGGCGTTGGCATCTGGCTGGCCGCCACCCAGGGGAACTTCGCCACGCTGTCCTCTTCCTTCCCATCCCTGTCGGCCGCCAACCTGCTCATCATCACCGGCACCTTCGTCATGGCCATCGGCTTCGTGGGCTGCGTGGGGGCCCTCAAGGAGAACAAGTGCCTGCTGCTCACTGTGAGTGCCGCGTCCCCCCCCCCCCCCGGGCGTCCAGCGCAGACCGCAAGGCCGGACCTGCAGTGTGCCCCCCCCCCGGGCATTCCCCCCCAGGCGTCCAGCGCAGACCGCGAGGCCGGGCCTGCAGTGTGCCCTCCTCCAGGCATCCCCCCCCGGGCGTCCAGCACAGACCGCGAGGCCGCATCCCCCCCCCCGGGTGTCCAGCGCAGACCGCGAGGCCGGGCCTGCAATACGCCCCCCCTCCAGGCATCCCCCCCCCCCGGGCGTCCAGCACAGACCCCGAGGCCGCATCCCCCCCCCAGGCGTCCCCCCTGGGTGTCCATCACAGACAGCGAGGCCGCATCCCCCCCGGGTGTCCAGCGCAGACAGCGAGGCCGCGTCCCCCCCCGGGCGTCCCCCCTGGGTGTCCATCACAGACCGCGAGGCCGGGCCTGCAGTGCGCCCCCCCCAGGCATTCCCCCCCCCCGGGCGTCCAGCACAGACAGCGAGGCCGCGTCCCCCCCGGGGCGTCCAGCGCAGACCGCGAGGCCGTGTCCCCCCCGGGCGTCCAGCACAGACCGCGAGGCCGGGCAAGGGCTCCTGGAGGACCCTTGTTGCTGTGGTGCTCCTGGTGGGGCTCTGGCCAGTCAAGTGACGCCCTGGTCTGAGGAACCCGCCATGGCGACCGCTCAGGTCTCCCAGCCCTGGCACAGGCCCCTTCTGCACCCCTCAGGGAAGCGTTCGGACCCCCGCTGGCCGCTGGCGGGCCGTGTGGGATCCGCTTCAAACGTTCTGAGTAGAGGGGAAGGTGGAGCAGGGGAGGGCAGAGGCGGCCCCATCGGGGCAGGCCTCGGGGGCTGGGCCGGGCCTGGGGGGCGTCCCTGAGGTCCCCGCTGCCGGTCCTCCCACCGCCTGTCCTCCCTGTAGTTCTTCGTGCTGTTGCTGCTGGTGCTTCTTCTGGAGACCACCATTGCTGTGCTCTTCTTTGCCTACACTGACAAGGTAGGGCTGTCAGGCGCACGGGTCTCCCCCTCTGCACCCGCAGCCACCGGAGGCCAGGCCTGGGTGGTGGCTCCTTCCTCTGCCCACTTAGGCTCACCCCAAAGCCTTCCTTCTGGCAGGGTATTAAGTGGGTGTTGGTAATAATAAGTACGTGGTGTCTCCAGCATCTTGGAACACCACACTGCGCCCGACTGGGCACCTCTGCCTGCAGTCCCCCACCCCTCCCCCCATTTCTAGCAGATGCCTCACTGAGCCAGTGTCCTGCTGCCGAGCCCCTCTGAGCCCCTCCACGCTCTCTGGAGCACTGCTGGAGGCCACAGACCTCCCTGAAGCGGGTCCCCTCTCCAGGGCCCCGCCCTGAAGCCAGCCTCCTCTCCAGGACCCGGCCTCCTTTACCGGAGCACGGCCCTGGAGACCAAGGTCTGGGGTGGTGTTCACATGAGCACGGCACAGACTTGCTGCTGTGGTCAGTACTTGAGCCTTGGTGCCTTGTACCTGTGGCCCCAGTCAGGATCCTCCACCTGGCGTGGAAGGTTGGCATGGGTTTGGATGGGTCCCTGCATGGCACCAACCGGGGCCCAGTTGACCCTGCTGCAACCTCAGATCGACAGGTATGCCCAGCAGGACCTGAAGAAGGGTCTCCACCTGTATGGCACCCAGGGCAACGTGGGCCTCACCAACGCTTGGAGCATCATCCAGACGGACGTGAGGCCCTGGGGGGGGGGGGGAGTGCCTGCCTGGGGGGCTGGGGCAGGACCTGGGGGGCCGCGGCAGGCCCAGCCTTTCTAGCCTCGGCCTAGGTCCTTTTTGCCTGCCCCAGTTCCGCTGCTGTGGTGTCTCCAACTACACGGACTGGTTTGAAGTGTACAACGCCACGAGGGTGCCCGACTCCTGCTGCCTGGAGTTCAGCGACCGCTGTGGGCTGCATGCACCGGGCACCTGGTGGAAGGCGGTGAGCGGGCGCCCGGCCTGGTTGGGGGGGGGGGCGGGCAGGAGGCGCCGGCTGACCCGCTTTCCTGCTCTCCTGCAGCCATGCTACGAGACCGTGAAGGCCTGGCTCCAGGAGAACCTGCTGGCCGTGGGCATCTTTGGACTGTGCACCGCCCTGGTACAGGTGTGCAGCGTGGGGCCTGAGGCTTCCGGGTCTAGGGAGCCACGGAAAAGGGCGGGCTGAGGAGGGGACATGGTGAGAGCGAGTCCTGGACACGGGCCAGTCTACTGGGTGAGGTCAGAGGTCACCCGTGGCATCTCAGGCCAGATGCTGCAGGTGCACTGTCCCGGGTCCCGTGGGGCCATTACAGCACCGCCTGGGCAGAGCGCGGGCGGCAGCCCGGCCCCGGGCTCCCTGGTCCCTGCTCTCCCCACCAGCCCCACAGCCCTCTAGCCGTTCCGAGTGTCCCAGTGGGAAGCTGGTGCCCGGGGTGACCGCGGCACACCACAGGTGCTGCGCACTGGGATCTGCGGGCACCGCAGGCACCGGGCTCCCCAGGACCTCAGATCAGGGGCCCAGAGGCACAGAGCAGGTCTTGAGGCTGCTGTGTGGTGCCGCGGCCAGCGGGGCTCTCGGGGGCTCATGGGGGCCCTGCTGTAATGGGCCTGGTTCGTGGTGGCAGGGAGGGGCCCCAGGCTGGGCTGAGGCTTCCTGCTGAGCCCCTGTGTCTCTGCAGATTTTGGGCCTGACCTTCGCCATGACCATGTACTGTCAGGTGGTGAAGGCGGACACCTACTGTGCGTAGTCCACAGCCACCCGCCCCTCTCTGCCGAAGGACACTGCCACCAAGGAAGTGACTGCCTCCGGCCCGCCGTGCCTGGGCTTGGAGACCCCAGAGTCCCGTCCCGGATCCAGTGGTTTGGCCTCAGTGACCACAGGGGAGAAAGTGGCCGGCTGCTGCCCACGGCACCTGTCATCCAGAGCCGGGTTCCTGCGGGGTGGGGCACAGGCAGCGAGCAGTCCCCAGCGCCCGGGGCGCCGCAAGGGGCCCGGCCTCCTGGAGGCCCTCACTGGCCATGGTGCTCCAGTGGCCCCACCGTCCACATTCCAGGTGCATTTTAATAAAGTGCGCAAGCAGCTCTCGTGTCTTGCTGCAGGTGTGTCGCCTGGAGAGCTGCCTTCTCCAGCGGGGCGGGGGGGGGGGGGGACGACACTGTCAACAGCCCGAGGACGCAGCAGACGTCAGGGGCGGCCCTGGCCCGCCTCCCTCTGCCCCCCTCTCCTAACTGGTCCTGAGGCCGGGCAGGCTGGGCAGTGCTCCACTCCTGACTGCCTGGCCACCCTCGCCCCTCACAGGTCAGCCTGTGGGACGGTCCTCACAGGACACGGAGAAACGGTTAACACGTATGTGACCTGGACGGTGCCCTTGTCACCAGGGGTGAGCAGGACCAGGGGTGGGGCTCAGGTCGGGTGAGCACCCCCCAGCAGTCCAGGCCAGCTAGGTCCCAGGACCGGAGCTCGGGCAGGGACGCCCCAGCCCCATCAGGTCTCTTTCTCCCAGACTCAGCTCTGCTGGTCACTGCCTGTGGCGGCCGCTGGAGCCCTGGTGTCCACCCTGGGGGCTGCACCTTCACGGCCCCCAGTCCTTCCAGGCCCTGCCCCACAGCCTCGGGGCTGGCTGTGAACCCCAGGTCCCAAAAGAGCCCAGGCCAGGCCCCATGGGGACACGACCCCACCCGCGGAGACCTTGCTGTGAAGACAGAAGAGCGTCCAGTTCCCAGGTGTACACAGGTCTCTTAATTGGCTCAGGTGTTGCAAACCAGCCCAGGCCTCCGGGAGCAGCTGGGAGGCCTGAGCTCCGAGTGGCGCCCGGTAGAGTAGGGGCCATGGGTCCTGCCCACAGCAGGCAGTCAAGACGGGGCCCCGATTTCCATCTCAGGACTCCGGTGCATGCCCCCTCCCCCCGGGCCACAGCAGACGCATCACAGCAAATGGCAGAGCTCTGTATTTCACCAGTCATTCCGTGGCTTAGAAAAGTCCATCCATGTCCATGTGAGACCTGCCCAGCCTAAAGCAGGTCGTAGAAATAGTCCAGACCTTGGCCCAGCTCCCAGATGGAGACCCCAACGCCCAGCTCCCAGGCCAGCTCCAGCCGCACCTGCAGAGACTGGGCACAGACAGAGGGGTGGGCCCAGAGGTCTCCCCAGGCAGCACACCCGAGTTGGGCTGCAGGCTGACTAGCACGGCAGAAGGCACAGGCTGTGAGGAGGAGCTGCTGTGGTGCAGCATGCTGACACTGGGTCTGACCCACACCACTGCCCGCACCCCAGCGCCCCGGCCAGCACCCAGCGATGCACGCACCTTCAGAGTCGGGTAGAACACCAGGTGCCTCCCGCCGCGGCTCCTGCGGGTAAGGGGGAGGTCTTAGCACGGGGCCAGGCTCGGCGGGACACGGGGTGGGCTCCCACCCCAGCCTGGGGCTAGGGTCCATGCAGAGGGCCGATGGGGGCCCTGGACCCAGGCCCTGCCGTCCCCCACACCCGCATTCCCCTGGGGACCTGCTGCCACGGCTTGGAGAGCTATGTGCACCATCACTCACTTCTTGTACTCGAAGAAGTGCTCTGCCGCCTGGCTGTGCCACACCATGCGGGGCTTGTGGTCCTTCAGCATCTGGATGTACCTGGGGAGGCCGGGGGGTGGGTGTGGGGTGGGCTGGGCCCCTGGGCCGGGGCTGCAGCCACCCCTGCATGTGGGGCGGAGTGGGGCTCACAGGTCAGGGGACCCACAGGACCAGCCAAGGGGGGCCAGGGAGCTATTTGTTTTTCACTCAAGGCTAGAGCTCTACCACTTGAGCCACAGCTCCACTTCTGGCTTTTTGTGGCTAATTGGAGATAAAGTCATATGGACTTTACTGTTCGGGCCGGCTTTGACCCACAACGCTCAGATGTCAGCCTCCTGAGTAGCTAGGATGACAGGCGTGATAAACTCACCATCAGTGCCCAGCACGAAATGGGGAACGCTATGATCCAATAATTACGTCGTCCTTCGAAGAATCGCAAGGGGGTAACAAGGTCGGCAAGAATGTACTCACTACCTTACTAATGCGACCCCTCTGTACATCACCTTGACAATTAAAGAGAAGAATCGCAAGACCTCACCTAGACCTGCCACAGACCTAGAGCATCAGTGGCCAGGAGGGCATCCTGTGTATTTCCACGAGGACATGGAACGTCATTCCACAAAGACCTGTTTGGAAACCTCGTGGCTTTGGGAAGCTCCGCAAGAAGAAAAGCAGGACGCGTGCGTAAGTGGAGAGCGTGGCCTAGAACCGGGGGACCCACCGAGGCTAGAGGCAGGGACAGATAACAAATCTGCCAGACTCCCGCTCCCAGAGCAAATCCACAGTAAGACCTCCAGCCCCCCCCACCCCCCTGGCCCACCACAGGGCCCACAGAAGCCCTGGACCTAAGCTACAGTCCTCGAAACACTGGCTGAAGAACAATCCTGACCCTTCCTGGCCGTGCTGCATCCAAAGGGTCTCCTGTGGAGCCACAGCCCGACACACTGGCAGGCCAGGCCAGAGCTGGGCTGGGGGTGCATCTCCACAGCCAGACCGCCCAGGGCCAGCTCTACACTCAGCCCGGTGGGCGCCCCGGTCACGTCAAGACTGCTGGCTCAGCCGTGGGTCTGATGAGGTTTTCCCAGACGGTTTGGGGCAATACACGGGGAGGAAGTGGAACGGGAGGGCAGTGGGAAGGGGTGGGGCCGCCCTGCCGCGTCTGACCTCAGGGTGGGAATCAACTGTCGCCGGGCGGAAGCGGTGCATTTGGCAACAACAGGACTGACTAGAGTGGCAGGCCGCCTGGCCCCCCGCTGGCCTCCTGGCCCCGCTGGCCTCCTGGCCCCACTGGCCTGGACCCCCGCTGGCCACCTGGCTCCACTGGCCGCCTCCTGGCCTCCTGGCCCCACTGGCCTGGCCCCCCGCTGGCCTCCTGGCCCCCCGCTGGCCTCCTGGCCCCCCGCTGGCTTCCTGGCCCCACTGGCCTCCTGGCCCCCACACTGGCCGGCCAACCCTCCGGGGTGTTCAGCGCTGCCGTCTGTGGGGCGCGTCTGCCTGTGCTTGCAGGGCCGGGCTTCATCACGCAAGTCAGCAATGGCTCCTCACCAGGAGTGATTCCCCAGGCTGGCAGTGGGGCTGTGGGGCGGCAGCCCAGGGGGCCTGCCAGGCCCCCATCTGGAGGCCCGGTCATCAGCCGAGTGCGGGGACCATGGTGGACACCTGAGGCTCCTGCGAGGAAATTCCAAGGTCTGGTCCAAAACACTTGGGCCATGGGAAGACGGGGCTGTGTGGGGCTGAGCCTTGCGGTGGCCGCTCTCCGGCGCGGCCTGGGGGCCACCGGCAGAGCCGCGTGGTGGGGGAGGGCAGAGGGCCCCCGCTGGACTTGTGGCCCCTGGGCTGCAACACAGCTCCCAGACTTTTTTTCCCCCCCAGTCCTGGCTTGAACTCAGGCCTGGGCGCTGTCCCTGAGCGTCTTGTGCTCAAGGCTGGCGCTGTACCACATCAGCCACAGCACCACTTCCGGCCTTTTCTGTGTATGTGGTGCTGAGGAATCAAACGCAGGCCCTCATGCATGCGAGGCCAGCACTCTACCACTGAGCCCCCTTCCCAGCTTTTGAAGGCTGCTTTGAAGGCAGAACTCCAGGGGCCAGCCAGAGCTCTAGATTGCACTGTGCAGACCACACCCTGGGCAGGATCAGATGGCCTGGCTCTGGGCCCCAACACAACGTGAGCCAGCCACCTGCCCACCCCAGGGTCTTGGCTGTGTGTATGGCTGGCAGATGGCAGAGCCACGGATGTCCTTCGACCCCCAGGAGGGTCTTGGGTCCAGCACTGGAGGCTGAGGCGGGCGTGAGAGACCCTGCCAGGGCTCTTGCTAGCACAGTGGGTGTGTCTGGGCCTCAGAGAAGTCAAAGGGCCAGGCCTTGCTAAGATAGCAAGGGTTTGGTAAGGCCCTGGGTTCAGAGGGAGAGCAAGAGCACACAGAGACACAAGAATCATCACCCATGGACAGAGGGAAAAGACACCGTCTGCCCACACGCAGCCGAAGAGAGGCATCAGGAGCCAGCCCTTCCAGCCATCTAGACTGAATGAACACGGCTAGCTTCAGTACAATGAGCTGCCCTGTGTGCGGAGGCCGCGATGTCCAGGTGAGTGCAGAGGTCAGAACGCTAAGACGAGAGACAGCAGACAGCTCAGACCTAGCAAAGAGCATGACGCTGGGCTGGGCCATACGGACAGAGGAAAAGCGCCGGAGGCAGGTGAGGCACTAACAACTGAGCAACTCCAGGAATGAGGCACAACCAAGGGGAAGCGGTCAGATTAGCATAGCCACATGACCAGAGATGCTGCAGACCCTGGAGGAGAAAAACACTGGCAGCAGAAGAGGGGCCGTTCTAACCAGTCCCACCTGCTGACCTGAGGAATCTGAAGCGCTGTCACAGCAGCCCAGCACATGCTGCCCAGCTCCTGCACACCCAAGCCAATGGGGCCCAGCTCCCATCCACACCCAAGCCAATGGGGCCCAGCTCCCATCCACACCCAAGCCAATGGGGCCCAGCTCCCATCCACACCCAAGCCAATGGGGCCCAGCTCCCATCCACACCCAAGCCAATGGGGCCCAGCTCCCATCCACACCCAAGCCAATGGGGCCCAGCTCCCATCCACACCCAAGCCAATGGGGCCCAGCTCCCATCCACACCCAAGCCAATGGGGCCCAGCTCCCATCCACACCCAAGCCAATGGGGCCCAGCTCCCATCCACACCCAAGCCAATGGGGCCCAGCTCCCAGCCACACCCAAGACAATGCTGTCCAGCTCCCATCCATACCCAAGCCAACGCTGCCCAGCTCCCATCCATACCCAAGACAATGGGGCCCAGCTTACGGGGCGCCATGGATCACGCCTGTCATCCTAGCTACTCAAGAGGCTGAGATCTGAGGATCGCAGTTCAAAGTCAGCCTGGACAGGAAAGTCCATGAGACTCTTATCTCCAATAAACCACCAAAAAAAAAAAAAAGGTGCCCAGCTTCCACACCTCCCAAGCCAATGGGGTCCTGCTTCTGTGCACATCCCCAGACAA